AAATTAAACATCCTACAGTATTTTTACAGCCTTTATTTTACAGTTAAAGTATATGTTTATCATATAAATGTTACAACTAATCGGGGATCCTTTTAACAACCGTAGTTTTTCACACCCAATTGTCGGAGAAAAACTTGTTTTTAAAGTATTGYTACCCACAGAGATGATTATAAAAATGACGTGGACGTTCCTTCAGTCATAAATCCATCTTGCTAATGTAAAGTCGGCTTCTGCTCTTATGATGAAGATGAGCGCGCAGCAGCTGATAAATTCAGCAGGTGGAAGTTCATTGTTTGGCAGGTATTAAAGCAAAAATGCTGGGTTTGATTAAGATTAGTTTTCTGCAAAAAAAAAAAAAGCTCTAAAAATTGCATTGTCTTTACTTTTTACGATAGTTTTCTACCGTGATATATACCGTTACCATGAAGGGATTCAGTTTATACTGTGATATGAATTTGAGGTCATACCGCCCAGCCCTACAAGAAAGCAAAGAAAAACAACTCAATTCAGAGCCAAAGCATCATCTACACACAAGCCCCACCTGCGTGTCTGACTTTGTGCTCATGTTTTGTACTTCACCAGCGGAGGAATGTTGCCAAACAACCCCTGGCCTTCTCTAGACCTTTGCTGATGTTTGCATTTGCAAAGATCCCATCACCTGTGCTTTGAACCTCGCACAAAAACCATCCCGTCGCTTTCGTAAAAATATCCCAAMGCTTCATCGACATTACCTTCCAAACTGAGCCACGGCAGATTTGATTTCACCACGCTGTCGTGAAGAAAGCCATTACCTGGTGGGAGGTGAGGATGAGCGCGGTCCAGACAAAGAAGCCGGACACAGCCTGCGCCGCTGGGGTCATCAGAAATATAGGCTGGTCCGGGCCCAGGAGCGGGGCCTCGGAGAGCCACGATATGTTGGGCCCCATCGGTACAGCCGAGGACGAGGGTCCGGGAGACCCGGGGAACGGAGAGCCCTCTCCAAGCCTCTCTGAAAGCGGTACGTCTCGCCTCCACAGCCTGAACATCTGCAGGTGACAAAGAAGTTGTAAAACATTAACACTTCTGTGTTATCTGTGTCATTTGTAATCTGGGACAAAAACACAGACGGAGGATGAACAAACTCGGCGCAGGTCGACATGTCATCATGTCAGAATGTGTGTGCTGTTTGGTATCACATATCGACCTCTGGAATCTTTAAAAGAAATCCAGCTCCGCTGTGCTGTTAAAATGATGCTGGGACAAAAATATATGCTCGTTTCATTTGAAAGACAAAATTAAAAAAAKATAAGTCTGTCTCAGCCCCCCACCACCACCACACACACATTAGGGGTCAGGAATAAAGCAACAGATGGAAGAGGCTGGGAAGCAGWCTGGGCGTGTTGTGTTCACAGTCCTGTGGGTAAAAATATTAGTGGTACTCAGACTGGATTATTGAAGCAGCAATAACACAACAATGACTCCATTTTCAAGCAGTTAACAACTCATATTGACTTCAGCTTCTCTGGTGTTTTATTGTACTGCTTAAAACGCAAACCTCAAACGTGCTATTGCGTTTATAAAGGGTGAATGAAACCTTTTTTTAAATGACGTTCTGTTTCACAACAAATGAACAACAAAGACCAAAAACACTTTCTGATTATTTAACATGAATTAGAGGGATTTGTTCATTTTTCAGAAACCAAACTCACCTGGCGAATTAGTCGGCTGTTTCAAATCCCTTTCAGCTTCTCTCCAGACAAACTCTTCGACCAGAATAACCCAGAAAAACGGCCTAAATTCTTCCTTTTAGAGACGCACCGTTGCTCCCAGGACATCCATGTTGACTCCCCAGCGGACTGTCTACCGCCGTTAACCCCAACTGTCTCCCCACGAAGAAAAACCCCGAGAAACTCACTTACAAAGTTTTACTAGCATGCTACGTAACTTCTGTTTTGCTTCTCTATCATTCCTGCGTCTCCATTGTTTATGTTAATAGTCGTTGTGCGAGGAGTTAAGGCAGCAAAGTGAGTCTCTTCACCGCTAGACTCCGCTGTAAAACCAATCCGCAGTTGGATTAAAACGCCACATCACACTAGCTCCGCCCACTCCAAGAGGACGAGCCGGCTCAGCCAATTACAACCTAGCAGACCGGAACGGGGTGGAGCTTTAAGCAGCGGATGATGAAATGTTATGGATCCTGTGACTTCCGGTCCCAATTATGTACCGTGTAGGAAACGAGACAATTACAATATCTTCCTGTTAAAAAGAAATGTTTTAGAGCAGTAAAAGACGTTTTAAAGTTTCTTTGTGCCCCATGATTTATATTTAAATTGTAAAAGTTGAATTTATTAGAATTTAGTGATGACAAAGTGCCAATTTTACCACAGACAAATACTGAGAGCATTCATTTCAGTTTTTAAGACTGGATATGATAACTAATAATAATAATAATAATAATAATAATGACAGAAACAAAATGAAAATAGGTCAAATTTTAAATTTGTTTACCTACAGACTATTGCCAGATGTGGGTCTTTCATGTGACTCAAGCTTTCAAGTGATTTTTGGATTCACTTGAGTGCTTTGTTTACAGCAAGTGCATACATGCATTTCAGAACTGCCCATCAAGTTATCTGGAAATTTACTGGAGTTAAATTGTTCAAACTGCACTATTTGATTGAGTCCAGGGTAACCCCATATGTTTGATTTTATACCTAGTAATGAGTACCCCTAAACAGGAATAATACACATATTTCAGTTTTCCAAAGGCTTTCATCAGAAACGCAAGTGTTGCTAAGCTTTATTCATGAGTAATAATAATTCTTAACATCTTAAAATTTGCTTCAGTTGAATTCAAATGTTTTTGTGAAATTTGTGATGTGAAAATAACTTGAAAATGTCCGAACTTCAAGGCTCAAAACCAATGGAGTGTCTCAGCCTGCATCTGTTTGGTGTGTTAGACCCCAGACTTTATTTCTCCTTTGCCACCATGGTTAGTGACTCTGAGCTGCCCTTTCCAGACTCTGGTAGGATTTCTTGATAATATACACTTCCACAATCTGACGGTGGTACATGCCATGCAGAGACTTGATGGTTGTCATGTGACAGCTTCAAGACTTGCACAGGTTTAACACCAAAACAAATAATCTAGTAGGGCGTGTACATTTTTATTTAATCAGAAAATATACACAAGTATAAAGCATGGTAAATAAATATACAGGACATTCTACCATACAGACTTTTATCTTCTAAATACTCTTCATCCTATTAACAAGAAGCTCTCAGTCATTGCCTGTCAGAGTGATCATCAGAACTCTTGGCAGACTCTTAAGGTTTACCATAACATTTTATTTAGAGATTTCTCCTTCTTTCCCTCAGAGGTGCAAGAATGATACATTTATAGTCTTCTCTTCAATACATCTGTCACATTCAGTCAAAAATGTAGCTACACATTTACTGTACATGGTGTCCACAATGAAAAAAGGAGTAGAAATGATATGAAATGTAACACCAGACTTTCTCAAGACTTTTCATGTCCGGAGTTTCAAGCTGGACTACGGTTTCATCRTATTGTACAGTCCTCCTTGTTGTCCGTATTTTCACAAGGAATAGTTAAGATTTCCACCTCACTTAAAAGGATCGTTCAACCCGTTTTCTGTTCGTCACTTCTCTCTCATTGTTTCTCTCCTTAGGCTCTCTAAAGCAAAGCTGAAAAGGAAACAAAGGTTTAGAATATCGCAGATGAACACGTCTGGCTTCTTCTRTCCACCGATCAACAGAATTTCTCTCATTCACTTTCTTTGATCTACACCACAGCATCTTCTTCTGTTAAAGGTCTGATAAGACCTTTGTGTTTGTTTTTAGGTGGTTCACAGATATAAAGGAAGTCGGTAACACCAGAAGCAGCGGATTTAGCTCTGAAACAGAAAATCTGATTTATATTTTTGCATGAATTCTTGTGTAAACCAAGTAATTTTGATTGTAGGCCCGTTTTTTTGTGCAGCTGGAACCTCTGAGTGGATGTGAAGATAAATAAGAGCGAAGAAGGCCTGGACGACTTTGTGTCTTTTTTTTTCTCCAACATCCCTCCATCTGACAGGAACTTGGAAAGCAGAACCAGGTATGAAGGTTGTGACTCTCACTGGTTTTCTTTCTTCTCAAAAGGCTTTCGCACTGAGCATGCTCACACCGCAGACTGGCAGACACAGGGACAGATGCTCTCCGTTTACAGTCCACACAATGTGTGTCCTCCTCCCTCACTCGTTCATATTTTCATTCATTCATCTGAAAAAGTTTGGGGGGGCGTTGATGGCCATCAGCTGCTGAATCATGAGACAAAAAAAAGAAAAATGTTACTTTTTGAGTTTACGAGTCATTTTATAATAACAGTTAAAGGGATATTTTAGATATTTCATAGACCACTAAACCTGGTCTCTGATGATGTATATTTTGTCACATTTCATTTATGTAAGTATTTAGATATACATACAGATTTTTTTAATTGGGGGCAGATATTATAAGATTCTTTTCTTCTTTCTGCTCCTTTTCATTTAATGATACATATTGTTTTTGTTTTTAATATTGTTTGTTTTCTGTTATTTAAATGAAATAAATAAAAAAACGAACAAAAAACCCTCTAAAACTCATTTCACTGTTTTAACACTGTTTTTAACATTGTTTTATCAGCAGCAATAAAGATATTCTATTCTATTCTATTCTATTCTATTCTATTCTATTCTATTCTATTCTATTCTATTCTATGTTCTATGCTTATTTGAGAGTACTAGTAGCAAGCTGCAGCATTTACAGTGCAGCCTGGGGTCACTTCCAGCAGAAATTTCGGAATATTCTGGTCAAAATAACTATAATACAAAATGTCCTGATGCATCTCAGTAAACCAGGTAGAAAAAATCAAAAAGAAAAAATATGTAGGTCCTCTGGATGGGTTCTTCTTTAGTGAAACGTTTCGTCTCTCGTCCAAGAGATTTCTTCAATCTGATGAGTTTCAGGTGAACTCAGCCTTATAAGCACTGCCTCCACATGGACAAACAGGTTAGTCACATGCAAAAGAGGGCCATCACCTAACAATAGGCTTGATTAGCTCTATTTAGTCACATGCAAAAGAGGGCCATCGCCTAACAATAGGCTTGATTAGCTCTATTGTTCATAGGGGGTCATGTACCCCATCACCTGACCCGCGTCGTGTTATGTGTGTGTAGTGAGTGCAAGCGGGGTTCGACGTCCCCTTGCTTCGCTTGCACTCACTACATACACGTAACATGACGCGGATCAGGTGATGGGGTACATGACCCTCTATGAACAATAGAGCTAATCAAGCTTATTGTTAGGCGATGGCCCTCTTTTGCATGTGACTAACCTGTTTGTCCATGTGGAGGCAGTGCTTATAAGGCTGAGTTCACCTGAAACTCCTATGAAGAAGTCTCTTGGACGACAGATGAAACGTTTCACTAAAGAAGAACCCATCCAGAAGAAACATTTGCATGATCCATATGAAATTTTAAAGACTGGAGTTGTTTTAAAATGGAGAAAAATCCACTTATTACAAGGACTGTATTAACAAGCTAGAAATATTAAACCAATAAATGCTCATTTTTAAATCGTTAGACTGCAGTCAACTTTGTATTCCAGTGGAACTAGTGGGATATTTCTCTTGGAATTGCCCCAGGCTACACCAGTAGTGCTGGTGTTTGACCTAGAAAATAAATAATTCCCTGTAAATAACAGTATTGTAAAACTGGAAACGATACAAAGAGCTAYGGAATAGTGTTGAAATGAACTACAAGGAAACTTTCAATGAATCTTTGGAGACTGAAGCTGCTTTAAGACAGCAGCAATCCACTTTGGTTTTGGTTGAAAACAGATTAGCTGTTAGCTTCTCAGTCCCATCAGAATTAAACTTCCTTTCTTCAAACTGAGGTCTTTCAAAGAGCTATGTACAACAGGTAAGATATTGTTAATTACCTTTTCAAAGAGCAAAAGTATCCCTTTAAACTAGCAGAAATACAGTTCTTAGATGGCAAGTCTCAGAAACCCAGAAAATTATATTTTCTCCTGTTTTTACATGATCACTACGACCATCCCTTTATGACAGCAACTTGGTTTTCTCTGTGGTCTCCAAACAAAATAAACAGGAATTTTTTTCAAACTTCTGAGTGTGTGTGAACCTGGTTTTTGTAAMCTTTTTAGGACCTTTTCAGGTCACCTTGTCAGGACAAGCATTTTTTGTGGGGGAGATCAATACTGGTCTTAATACAGTGGAATAGCATTAATGTGTAAGAGGTTAAGGTTTAGGAAAAAGGCGGTTAAATGAGTTGAGGTAAGGGTCAGGGTCAGGGCTACATGGTCCTAATAAGGATAGCAATACAAACTGTGTGAATGTAGGTATGTCCATACCCACCCCTCACCTGCAGGCCACTGAAGGGAAACTCACTTTGCCAGATGTTCAAACGGCACATTGACCTGAGTGTTGAGAGAAAACAAAAACCTTAAAGTAACTTAGACACTAAAATTACAGTGTTTTTCTATTCTCGCACAATGTCAGTCTTTAGTTTGTAATACTGTATGTTAAATTAAAAGGAAGAGATGGTTATTTATCATTTTATCCTGATGCATCTCAATAATCCAGGTAGAAAAATCTAAAAAAAAATGTTGAGTAGGTGAACAATAGGGATAATCAGAGCACTAACGATAAATTGTTAAACTGATGGTCCACTTTTGCATATGAACAACCAGTTGGATTGTCATTGATAAATTTGTTTGTCCACCATGTGAAAGTAYKGCTTATAGGGCTGAATTTACCTGTAACTCCTCAGACTGTAGAACTCTCTTGGAAGAGAGACAAAATGTTTTTTYWMMAAARARRAMCCSKT